TTAAGCTAGCTCGATGATGCAAGTTTTCTATTTTCGATTTTTCTGGTATCATTCGAGTGAGATAATTATATAACAAAACAAGTTTATTCTTAGTGTAAAAAACGGAAACCCTATCACTTGTTAGTTACTTTAATTTGAATTTACTTATTCCAATATCATAAGTAACTACTAAAGTGGCATTTAGCAATATTTAACTAATTCTTGAAGATTTATTATTATTGTGTACAGATAATGTAAAATTCACATTTGAAGGTGAACACTTCAGACAAATAGATGGTGTAGCTATGTGTAGCCCTCTAGGACTATTGCTGGCTGACGTGTTCATGGGATACGTGGAAAATTTAGTTGAGGACTCAATTCGAAAGATGGGTGTGTATAAACGATATGTAGATGACATAATAATCATAGGGGATAAAAGTGAAGACATAAACCGCTTGTTAGAAGAATTTAATAGTAGTCAAAAGCTCATTATTCTTACATGTGAAGAAGAGAAAAAGAACAACCAACTCCCTTTTCTTGACATCCTGATTAGTAGGAGAGATGATGGTTCCATCAAACGTGCTATATATAGATAACCAACATGGATAGGACAATATCTTAATTTTCACAGAACATAGCAATTCTCCCATGCTAACTAATTAACGAAAACTGGGGTTTTATATTACTTTTCCTATAACTACTTATTCTTAAAAGTAAAAGACATGCGTAGGTGTCTCCGGAGCATTGCTAGCATTTCGTAGGACGGTTGATTTATCATTACTGAAGTTAAGCATATGGTACTAGACGACGTTGGTAAATCACGTTGGAGGTTATGAACTTTCATCAGCTGAGATGGTTAGGACATGTTACATGTACATTGTCACCAACTACATCGATGGACAATGTTATCTGATGTAGGATTTGTTTTTAAGTTAGGGGGCTAGAAAGAAACGTAGCATCAGTCCATGAAGTAATTAACTTGATCTGAGTCATGCTGATAATTCTAGACTACGTGGTCGGGTCCGCGAGATTAACGCAACCAGCGGTTGGAGACTGGGTGGCATAGATCAGAATCGTTGACAGTGGCACAGATGCATTCACTCTTTGTCCTCCTCTCGATGTTGAATTCTAGTATCCCTTCATACATATCTTTCCACTACATCTTTTTCAGTCTTATTGTCATTGCTGCTACACTATTCCGATCTCTTATGCTATTATCCTGTTCATTCCATCTCGTCGTGCTGATATTATGGCAACGCATCCGTGCCAGGCTTTACGTTGACTTATCTAATCTATCTTTTAAATACTTTCTAAAATTCATCCTAGGTCATTGTAACTGTATACCAACTAATTCACTTTGTCTTGTCTGGTCAGATGATTTGCTTCCATGCACTTACAATCTACGGCGAAAATGTTTTGCACTCGTACGTAGATGTCCTATTTTGATTTTCAATGCCCAGATATTTATTATCTTTCCTTGTTTAAAAATCTTTTTCAGAGCACTTTGCGAGTGTGGTTCTTGGTAAGTTAAAGCGTCTGTATTCTTATTTTATACCGAAGCTTATCTATTCTTCCTTTATTCTTCCTTCATTTAGAAGATCCATCCGGTAACTTAATTTTAACTGTCACAGGTCATAATGCCATTGGCTTAATTAATAGTTTAGTTGATGATGATCTTAGACCATGTATCAATAATGATGCATGGTGGACGGGACTAATATTCGAGATGAAAGAATTACAGAATATTGGTATATCACCAGATAAAATAGTTCTTGAACAATGTCGTCGATTATTGGGTCAGTGGATTGATGTTGCAGTTAAAATAAGTTGGTCAAGGAAATCCATTCCAGGTAATACAAACACCGAAAATGACAATGATCTCCAGTTTCATATTAATGATTGGAATTTTGTGTAGGAACGTATGTTGAAATTACTTTACATAAAATCGGATTTAAACCACACATTTCTCTTATATTCCATGCTCACCTTGTGCATAGTTTTGACATTTTTTTATCAATCCAGTTTCTACCATAAAACTTTTTAAGTTGCCTTGGTTATTTTGCTTACCGTTGTGGCTTGAGTTAAGGTTTTGTATTTTTAAATTCTGAACGACTAGGAGATTCTTTGTGCGAATAGGATCCATGTGAATTGAATAAACCAGACGACTGACACAACACTTCTCTGCTAAATCAAAGAGTAAATAGAAGTCTTATAAGGACAATGTATTGGTAAGGACCATCAGAGGAATTGTTTGAGCTCACATCAATCGTCACAGTGAATTTACGAATACAATAAGGTATTTTAAAATTAAGTGACTAATTTTATGTCGAATGGATCAGTAGAAACCAGATTTCACTTCGCATCAAGTTAGTCTTGAGATAATATTCGGAAGAAATTAGTGTTTGAAGATTCAGCATGTCCAACACTAAGTTAGTAAAATGAAGCACACACTTTAGATGCTAAAATACACCCTACTATTGAGTTCTGAATGAAGCTTTAACCCAAGTGCTTTCATCCGTTTTCGCCTAATTGAAGTTTTAACATGTAGAGCACCAATTTACTTGAAACGGCGTGAGTACTTACAGTAAGTACATACTAATTTGTGTTTCTAGTTCATTGTCGTATTTAGTCTTTTATTAGTCGCAAAACGTTCGTGACTATAACACTAAAACAGGCCCCCAAATGCCCTGGTGTGGGCCCGCCCTCCCTTTCGAAATGCTCTAACATGGCCACGCGTGTACAGCCCTTTCCAGGGAAGTCCTTCTCGCGGCGGGGGTGTTGTTTACAAAATTGAGAGGACGAAAAGCGAATGTCCGGTGCTTTAACCGGATCCCAAACCAATGGTCACATGGGCTCCAGGATCCTGGGATTAAATAGCGTATGAACCAATCGTTGGTCACCGACTAGCATCTCCTCATGATGCTCCATCGTCTTGTGGGTTAGACCTTTAGGTTCAGGGCTCGGGTCGTGGCCCCCTAAGAAAACCACCTGCTTCGGTCTGGGCACCCAGGCAGTATCATAGCCCACACACAAATATATTGGTAATGAAAATGTGTGGCGCATACATATTTGGTGCCCCCTTGTACCAATGTTTATGTGATTAAATAAATAAACACTAAGACAGAATAGTGTAAAGTTGTTCGGACATGTGCATTTACTGAAAGCTGACCTGAACCTCTATCCTATGCACATGCAAGTTGTGTTATGGTGAATATTTGAAAATCCATTGTTGTGATTGAATAATAACGTCTTAGCTTTGTTTACCAAACATTTAAATTTGATTTTCTTAAGTGTATCGTGATCATGAAGAGTAGTTGCGACTAGATGAGATCTGTTGTTCGATATTACAGGCAAAGGAACAAAACTCAGTGGCACAGCGACTGTACCATAATTATACGGTTTTGTGAGTTATTATTTTTTGTCGTAAAAGTGAAAACTGCTATTTGAACTTAGGAGTTAGTCTTAGCTCGGTTCCCACCAAGATCCAGGAGGCATTCTTTACTTACAACTGTAACCGACCGTGGATAAGCATAGGCAGCCCACCAGCATTCTCCATCAAACTGTCCTGGGCAATCCTTTCCGTGCTTGCTTGTAATTCTCGGCACAGTGTTCTTTGGCCTTGCACTGTTCCGTTTCTCTTCAGCACTTACCTGTGATGTAGTTTGGTGATTTCAGCAGTGCATCTCCTGTCCACGTCCAACATCTTTTTCTAATCCCCTCTTCAACTGAAAGCTGGTTTGCTTTCTCCCAAAGTGAGCCCTTGCTGACGGTATCCGGTCAACAGACACTCAGTTTCTTACGTGGACAGTTCTTTAGAAATAGTTGTACTATTTTGATGATGGTTGTAGTTCTCCAATTTTCAGCTTCGTACCATACAACTGTCTCGACGTCCGCACTGAAGATTTCGACTTTGATATTAATTGACAGTTGCTTCGAGTTGCATATTTCGTTCAACTGTACAATACCGCTATTGCTTTGCCAATTCTCACCCTTACATCACTGCATCAGATCCTTCTTGTTCGTCGACGGTACTGCTGTTCAGGTACGTGAAAGTCGCCACACCTTCCAGAGTTTCGCCACCAAGTTTGAAAGGGTTGGCGTTCTCCATGTTGTATATGAGGGCCTTGTTATTTCCCTTTACTGCTGCTAAACTGGTTATCTCGACCCTTAATTGTTCGTGTGTATGGAATAGAAGTGCCAGATGGTCTGAGAAGCTCAAATCGTCTAGTTGTCGATTGTATTCCGTGCTTCCTCTCAGATGTCAGTCTTCATAATCCAGTCAACCGCTAGAAGAGTGATAGTAAGCAGTTTTATCTGACTACGCTACTCACTTTGAATGAGCCTGTCAGCTGTCCTTCATGCACGGCTCTGCAGCGTGGTCCGTGGCATGAATCCTGTATGATGTTGACGACCTTCTATTATCAGTGTCCAAGAAGGTACTCCTATCCTCGCCGTCAGACGCCTCCTCAGTCGAGGGAGTTGAATTATAGTGACGAGTTCCATTCCGACGGGGTATCTTCAACCGTTCACATGCACGTCTCTATTACAAGGTTTTCTGTTCCATATGACAACTCTTGACATCTAAACTATGGAGTCTTGCTACCAATTATGTACATATCTAGGCTCAGCATCGCGATCGTCTTTCACTGCATGCGGTAGATATCGCATCCGACACGTCTAGACCACTGGTCACGGGTTCTCACTATTTTACATTAGTATGTTTTCCCGGGTATTTAATTCCCATCGGCCAGATAAAGAAAATATCCACTGTACTTTTACTACTCTTAGATTTTTGTGGCAAAACATGTTCAGTGACCCAGTCCTGCTACAACTACAAGCGTACCAGAAACTGTAGTAGGAGGCGAATATTATATCCTTTGTAAAAATATGATTAATTACAGATAATATTGACGATGATAATATTAGTAAGATTTCAAAGCACATATTAAATTACTATCTTTTATAAACTCAAGGGATTGGGAACCACAACTCTTTTATTCTAATTTAGCAAAAAAATAACTGAGAACGATCACATTTATTTACCAGGTTTACTTAACTTAAAAGGCATAAAACTTCTAAGTATGTTAACAGGCCTTCAAAATTATTCATCACAGAGAATATATGGTAAGAGATACAGAAAATAGTTGAGCATTGATCTGACAATTCCCATTACATGCAACGTATGGCGCGTACTAGCTATACGAGTACAATTATGATAAATTTTTGAAACACAAGAAACAATGTGGTTGGCAAACGCTTAGAGATCGGGAAAAGGCAGTTGAGGTTGCACGTGAGAAACAAGAACACAAGGTTAAAGTTCATCTTCAGAATAACTCAAGCAGTCCAACAATAATGCAGTACCAGATGGAAGGCAGTATATAGTTTTGGGGGATAGAAAATTCCATCGTGTGATTTACGTGACATTTCTCAGGACACATCTGGAAATAAAATCAAGAAAAATTAAATGTTTTGAAAATATTACATTTTAAATTATCTGCGATTTGGGTCCCTAATTATGATAACGGTTGCACTTTACGACAGAAAGAATGCTCATTCTCGGGAAAATTTTGGCGTAAAAAGGGGTCATAAAGGAATAAAACATTTTGTTTGGATGAATGTTTAGTCAAATTAAATTTAACTACGTTTTTACCGATGAAGAATCCAGCAACGACCTACACCAAGATTATGAGTATTATCTTTATATGAAAGTAAACTTAACGATCCTGTTGGATATCTTTGTAAAACGATTGGTTCCAACAATTTTCCGTAAATCAATTTACTAACCATATCTTTTTTATGCATGCTCCAAATTCTTACCAAAAACGAGTAGAATTTGTGAAAGTCTATAAATAATCACTTTGATGACTGAATTTCAAAACTGCTAATGACACTATGAACACCTTTGTTTGTAAAAGATAATCGAACGGATAGAAAATATGATTTAGAAGTTTTGGTGGTGTTTAAGTCGATGATCAGTAGAAACCAAACAAAAGTGTGGGCTTCTGAGTGACGATAAATATTTAGACGTTATCACTAATGAATCTAACGAAGGACATGGTTATAGTTTGCTTTAGTGAAATTTCAAACCTATTTATTCATGAAATCAGCAAACAAATTTTCTGCGTGATTCTTTGCTTGGATTATTTCTTAAATAGACTATAACATCAAAGCATTCAAAAAGCCAAATTCGATAAACAATTACTTTGCCTAATAAACTGAACCTAGACATAGAGTTCAGGACAATATATGGGAAAATATCATTTGACTTAGAATGGGAAATACGGCAATGTTCAAACGAGAACTAGTTCATAGCCAACTAAAAAGAACGCAATCATCCTGAACAAATACGATGGAAAACTTACAACTCATTGGGGAGTTCTGAAATCGACTGTAGAGTTGATCGTGATTGAACTTCAGAAATGCTTCATATTGCTCTAAAATGTAAATGAAGATCCAATTGACAGAGGTTTAAAAAAATTACGTTTTGTTTTAACCATGTTGAACCAGTTACTTTGAGAATCTTACTTTTGCCTCTTTAAGGATTTTGGTTCGCTTTTTACCTACGTCTGGTTGTTGTTGTATGTACCGCGAACGAAATATATACTTTTGTGGAGAACCGCCTAGGCAAAATACGTCTTCAAGTAATGTAGTTTAATAGTTGACTGGCAGAATAGTGTTGACATAAAGTATCAAAATTTCATTTCAGTAGACTGGGCTGAACTAATATCACTGTTATTGTAGCACAAATCGATTGTATAAGGCAATCCGGATCCGTCTGAATGTATTTTTCGGTCTAGTTAGTCAAATTAGTCTCCGTGTGAAATTGTTGTTCATGTGGAATCCCGAAATATGACATTCAGTTTTAAAAATAACGTTCTTATTTGAAATGAATTCCGTCTACCAACTTAACTTTTCACGTTAATTAATTCAGACTGATTCTCGTCCACTAACTTTTAGTGAATTCCTGTTTGTATCAGTCTATTCAATATAAAATTAGCTATTTGATTTTAAAACACCTTATTGTATTCATAAATTAACTATGATGATCGATCAGTCTGACAAAGTTTGTAATAAATAATCGGTATATAAGCCGACTAGCTTAAGTGTTAATAAATCAAGCAGCCTCGCTTGTCATATTAAGACTAGAGTTGTGAGTAACTGGTTTGTTGTACAAATGTATTGAAAGTGTAAGTCACTACACTTTTCAGACGAATGATACGACGATAACCCACACGATGGTCTGAGACTTGACAGTCTGTTGCAACTACGCTAATATTTGAAATTTTTTGAATAGAATACTGTTCTTTAAAAGTTATACATTCTCAACAGAATATAAACAGATTTGAACAAGCTGATAGTCTGTGGTTACAAGCAATCGAAAGTATTACATTATCTGGTGTAGAAAGTAATTGCCTACATACGTAATTCTTAACTATTCCCTAGACTGTCGAGTACAGTTTTAGCTTAGCCAAGTCAGAACAAGTAGGCTATTTGGCTTGATAAACTTTATCTGTTTCTAAACGTAAAAGTAACAATTTGATTCGTACAATAACTAAAGAAATTATAATCATTGAGTGGGACACACGAACATACCGACCAGTATTGCGTGTCTTAATGAAATGAATAAAAATGAGTCACAGTAATATAATGGGATAATGTCCTTCAATTGGCAGGTCATATGCAATAGAGATAGTCCACAGACACATTAGACCAGATTGACGTGTTGGGTGCTTAAAGGGCGATCTGATTAGTTAGTTATGGACATAAATAACATGTGGCACATTAACAAATAATGTTACTGAATTAACTACGACTGTAACAAGAAATCTAATACTGAAGGTACCAGATGATTGAACTGATGGTCACACAGTGAGAAGGGCTTGGGCCCAACTGTTATGGAGTAGATGACCTACAATACAGATTTCCCATGACATTTAATCCTGTTCATTTTTTTGTCAATAATCCGTATATAAGCAAACTTTCATTTAAAAAAACAACTTTTTTTTCTGATTAATGACCATTAACATCAGTTCATTGGAAGATCTGAATCGATAATACAGTCTTATGAGCACCAATCACCCAGTTACATCTTACCACTACGTTCATCCATTGATGAGCATTCTGTTTACTAGACCGTATACGTTCTTTATTGCGAATAATGAAATTCTACTTTACGACAGATGAGTTTAAAATGTTGCTGCAGTTAACTAGACACTCAGTGTTAATGTTTGGTACTGAAGTTCCTGGATTATGAAATGATATTTAGATTCCTACATACACAGTCCCTTTGTAGGAAAAACATTTAAAACCAACTATTACTTTCCCTAGATTAAGCCTGCTCAGACAGAAAATTTGGAAAAGAGTTCATATTCAAGACTAGTATACACTAACCATCAAATTGTGAACTAACCTGCTAATTTACAAGATAATATACTGTCATACTCTTCTCGTAACTCTGCTTCTCGTTCTTTGATTAAGCGCTCACAAAGAGCCGTAACCTGGGGTAAGGTGAAGATCGGCATTGAATCGATGGTATGTGTAGGTTTCAAAGAAGATTGTGAGGAGACAACTGAGACATTCTCAAGTGTTTGGAATATCGGTTCACTGGTACGCAAAGGTGACTGATCACTATCCGAGTCTTGACTATCTGAAGTAGGTGACCGCAATGCCATGGATCGAAAACTACCACTGCACGAAGCAACTAATGCAAGAAAATATATGAAATAAGAAGAAACTTTGTTTATAAGATAGAAAACTAGTTATATCTTGGCATGCCACGTACAAGTCCTATTTTATTGTTTTAGAAGTGAAAAGGATTATTCAACTTAATCAGGTAATAACTGCGACATCCAAAACCTTCAAACATAAAATGACTATTCTCAAAATATTACAAAGGTAACAAATACAAATGTCACAAATTTTTAAGCAGTTTTACAACATCGGATAGAGTATAACACAGTAAAGCGAAACTTTTTGGAATGATCTTGAATACATTTATTTTCGTTGTAACCATATCTACAAACCAACTTCTTAAGACATGTCCTAAATAATTAGTAGGATCTATAACTCCTTTATCGAAATGACTGCCGTACAAACGTGAAGCAAATCACCAACCAATTGTCCATAACATTTAGCTTATTAGTTATGTGAGTATACTTTTTAAAGTAAATGGTTAGCAATCGTTCGTAAAAGAATGTTTACTGCTGAGCAAAAAATCATGAGACAAATGAATGCTTCAAGATTTCCATAGAAGTATCTTGAATCGGTTGGGTAAATCTCATATTACGATCATGATATTTACTAAATTTGGAACCGGTTTTAATAAGCAACAAACAAGCTATTGACTAATTTGTAGGTTATAAGAGAAAATTTAGAAACTGAAACTAAGTAAATAGGCCAAGTCCTAAACTTATACTAACCGTGAAACATTTATGTTTTCATCTCCAAACCCTAATCTTCCCGATTACTGCTTATACTCTTATTACCTCTACCACTATGGGATTTGAATCGACAACTGCATCTCTGTGCTAATGTGATGTGGCAACTCGAACTGATGTACGTACGTACGAAGTTCTACGTTGTTACTGACTGACTGGAGTTTTGTTCTGAGCTGGTCGACCAGATCATCCAGCTCAGAGAACACAACTCCATCAAAATCATCCACCTGAGCTACGAATCACAATCTCAAAAACATTTATTTAAACATCAGCATTGGTATAAGGCGGCACCAAATACATATGCGCCACACAAATCACTCGATTTCTGTGAGGGCTGGGATACCACCTGGACACCCAAACCTAAGCAGGTGTTTTTCTTAGGGGGCCACACCCCGAGCCTTGAACCTGATCCACAAAACAGTAGAGCGACGTTGGTAGACGCAGTCCCATAGTAACCGGTGACCAATAATTGGTTTATACGCCATTTGTTCCTACAGGATACTGGAGCCCATGTGCAACATTGGTTTGGAACCAAGGTTTTTCAACTCCCCAAGGTGGATTTTCCCTAATCAACAACCCCGTTAAGTGGTTGGGCATTCGCTTTCCATCCTCTCAACTTTGTAAACACTGTGAAACAGCTAGTTACATCTCATTAGAGTAAAATACTAACTGGATTATGAACAATCTGTAGTAATACATAGAACGACTAAACCTAGTATTCGAAATTATTTGTATTAGAACAAAAAGACCTCGCTGTCAGTATTTAGATGGCTACAATTTTATACACATTGACTGAACTGATTCCATAGATAAGGGTAACAACTCACCCACGTTTTCATCCTTTGCATGACCGGCGAATGTCGCAGTTATTGCCGGGGTGGGACCTCCAAGAAATCGTGGTATCAAACGACGTCGTTGTAGACGTTTGATTTCCTCCTTGATGCGCCGCTTCAATTGAGCTACAGAATCGAACATCAGAGACAGAAATTAGTGCAAGAGTTAACACGCACAAGTATTTGCTGATAGACCAGTTACAACCAGTCTGAGTTTTCTGGAAGACAACTAAGGAGAAATTAAATAGTGTATCCGACATGTGATTCTGACAAATACCATTTGAAGCTAGCGATATTGACGAGTCCTCAGTATGCCTTAATTTGAGCACTGGTGTTCGAGTAAATCTTTAGGTTTATGGACTTGACTAGAACACCCTTCAGTGATGAAAACTGCCGAAGATCCCCCCGACTGATGGAGTTCGACGATGCTATATGGTCAAGAAAAACTACAATCTGGAGTCGGTGTACTGAACTTTTCGAAGGGTAAAGCTATAATTAACACACCCATGACCAGAACTATAGTTTGTGAACACAAAAGGCTTGAAAACCCTAGTCAAATAAATACATGTACTATGTCTTTTTTTAAGAACTGTGGTAATTGACATCTAGCACTTAGTCATAAGCCAGGATATCACTCAACTCATGAAACAGAAGTCAATCCTCCTAAGTTAACCTACTAAGTAGCGCTACTCTTCTATTGTTCTCTAATTGGGCAGGTAATGGCAAGCGAAACCTGAACCAGTTCTTGACACACACTAAACCGTGGACCCTAGTCAAAAGAACAAGGACCCCTGTCACTAGATGATGGAAACAAAAAGCCCTATGATAACAAAAGCTGGGTTAATAAGTGAGGAGTTTTTCACAGAGCTTACCATGATGAGACCGTACCTAGTGTCGTGACCTTTATTTGCACATTGACTGAAATAATAAGCAACCCGGGGCTGACACTTGAGAAGTGGTGTGAGTACACAAAGTACATACTACACAAAAACTAGTCGACTCCACCGACCCAGATATTTTGTGCATTAGTTTGGTTCATGAATAATACAGCACAGAAAGTTACTCAACAACAGCAGAAATAAAACACCGGACACTGACCAATTCGATTTATATGCTTAATGATGTGTGATTAGGAAGCACTGGCTTAATTTACTTATCCACACGATGTTTGGATATCGTTTAAGATGTGACTCCCAAACACTTGACAGGCAAACAATAAATTTGGAATTTAGCGAACGTACTTTGGGTTGATAACTCCTTCGGGATGAATGGGGATTCTGACGCTGCTGCTTCCGTGTTGCAGTTCCGAGTTAAAGCTTGGTATCGCCTTCTTTTGGAACAAGTCGCTTCCATGATGTCAAAGTTATGGGTTCGTTTAAGCGTAGCACATGCCATATTTCCAAACAATAACAAGTTAACTAGAGTTCACTAATGAAACACGCAACAAACTACGGCTAATATGTACGCCGGATGTCACCCGTCCACAAGATGGTTTGGCGCGAACTGATCGTATTCAATCTACAGGTTTACTGAAACAAAGACATGATCTTCAGCAGACAGAGTAGAAGCCCAAACTATCTGTACCAATAGCTCCAGATTGTGGAAATCAGTCAGGTTGCGTGCGCGTTTTGAGAAATCAGTGAACATAGAGACAAACAGGAAGAACCTCTTGCGTTCCAAATTGAAAGCATAAACTGCTTATACATGAACGCCGCGAGTCTACCAAACAAAATGGATGAACTACGTGAACTTAGCAATACTAATAAGGTTCATCTGATAGGAATAACTGAAACTTGGATATCTTCTCAGTTCTCGAACCAGGAGTTAGCAGTACCCGGGATGTCTTTGTTTCGCAGAGACAGAAAGTCAGGAATTGGGGGCGGAGTAGCTGTTTACATACGTTCTTGCTTGGAGATGCATCAAGTTCCCAACCTCGAGTTTAACAATCTTGAGGAATCCATATGGTACTCTGTAAGATTGTCTACTACTTCGAGGTGTCTAGTCGGAGTCATATATAGGAAGCCCACCGCCGACATCGAGTACGACAGTCGTATGCTGGAAGAACTATCCCGCTCTACCCGTCTCGGTTTCACTCATATCCTGATTGTAGGGGGCTTCAATCTCCCTAGAGTCAACTTCACGGAACATATGTATATTGGAGGTGAAAGCTCAAATGAAGCACGGTTCTTCAACCTCATTGAGGACTTGCGATTATACGAAAATGTAAAGTCGGCAACTCGTTAGAGAAACAGTCAGACACCATCGCGCTTAGACTATGTATTTACAAACGAACGATTCCTAGCTGACAATTTCTCAATCCTGGCTCCCCTGGGAAAAAGCGATCACGCCGTCATAGCTTTCAGTTTTGTCAGCAAAACTGAGCTTAGATATCCCACCAACAACTTGCGCTGGAATTTCAAACTGCTGAATTTGTCAGCTCCACAGGACTATCTGCAACAGGTGGATTGGGATGTTCACCCTCAACTCGATGTGGATACTCACTGGGACTTCTTACTGCACACTCATATGTGCTACAAATCATTGAGTTCCTCAAACGGTTCCCCATAGTTATCAGCAACCCACAATCATCAGGAACCGCACTCTTCGCCTGCTAAGCCGCGAAAGGCACTGTTGGGCAGAGTACATATGAACTGACAACAACGGAGCGTACAGGCAATATAAGCATATCAGGAACATATGCACGAAGGCTATAAGAGAAGATAGGCTTCAGTACCAGATAAAGCTTATGGACAAATTTGTCTCTGATCCTAAAAGTTTATTCCGTTATGCAGCCTCTCTTCGGCAAGCTAAAACTGGAGTTTCCCAACTGCTAGTTCTTAACGGCCCGACCAACAACGATGGCCACGCCGCTAACCTTCTGGCTGAACATTACTCCCAGACATTCCGACCGACCGACAGTAACTTTACTGATGACAGTTTCGTTCGCAATTCCACAGGACTTGAGTGTCAGACCACCTCTAACTGATTGGCTCACTTCATTTTAGGGTCAGGGTTAACTTTACTTTATCTCAGGCAATGGAATGTCCTAGGGAGGTCCCCCAGGGCCCAGTACTAGGACCTCTCCTCTTCTTGATCTACACAAATGATCTTCCTCAACAGGTTACGTCAGACTTATTACTTTTTGCCGACGACGTGAAACTTTGGAGAGAGATACGCAACCAAGACGATATACAGGCACTTCAGGAGGATCTGACTCGAATTCAAAGTTGGGCAGACGATGACGGACTTACCTTTGACACTTCGAAGTGTAAAGTAGTCCATCTGCGACATGTCGCAGACTACAGTGATAACCTAAGGAACTCCTCTCTAGTAGTATCTCGAGTCGAAAAAGACTTAGTAGTCCTGGTACCCTACGATTTAAAGTCTTCCCTAACTGTAACAAAAATGTCTTTCGAGCAAACCTTGCACTGGTAACATTGAAGAGCATTTTTGGCCAGTTTGACAGAAGAACTTTCCACATAATCTTCAATAGTTTTATCCGTCATCATTTAGAGTACGGAAACATAGTATTTCCTCCCTCACTCCAAAAGGATAAGGACACTCTGGAGCGTATCCAACGGCGAGCCACGAAATCACTTCTGGGACTCAAATTCAAACCTTATGAAGAGCGCCTCCAATCACTTAGCCTTTACCCATTAGAGTATAGACGTCTTAGAGGTGACCTCCTGATGGCTTATAGTATCCTTAACACTTCTGGACATCCTCTTAAACACCTACTTAAGCTTAGTTCGAATAATAACCTAAGGGGTAACACCCAAAAACTGGAAACACAACATAGCAGAATGGACTGTAGACACAACTTCTACTCCTTAAGAGTTGTCAAAAGCTGGAATTCCCTGCCGGCCGAGCTAGTCCAAGCGACTTCTCAGGAGTCCTTTAAGGGGAAACTTGATCTATTCTTAAGGACTAAGGATACCTTCTTATTATGATTTACCAATTTCTTTTTTCCTCTATTATCGTTAATATACCTAGGTTCTTGCCTGGAGGTATTGGTGATCCACTGCTACCAGACACGGAAGCCCGTTAAGCGAAAGCTTCGTCTATTCCATCCACAATCATCTGAACAACTTAAATCCTTCAGCACAAGCTTCTTCAATACACTGATCAACACACTCTCCTGTGTCAGTCACATGCTAAACCATTCAGATCCCCTCAGTTTAAAGTCCAGTACCTGATAAACTTTCGCAAAATAATGTTTTTTGAAGCGACGTCAAAGATTGCTGGTCTTACGATAGGTCTTCACGCAATAGATATACGCTGATAAGCAGATATGATAGAATAATTTATCATTCCAGATTGCTGAAGTCTACGATAATCAACAGCAAACCTTTGTATAACTTCGTTAAGAAATAGGTACAAAACAGTAAATATTGGGTTGGGATTACCTCATGGTACACAGTTCTCACAATGATATTTTTATGCCTCTGATTGGAGAATTCCAACCCAATTACCGCCAATGCGTTATATCTCTGTTCACTGACAAATCTATCCTCTTCAGCCGTAATATTAGTATCATAGCTTTTGAAACTCGCATAATCAAAGAGAATCCGGGATGCTCGAAAGCATACCAACCTCTTGCCTTAGGTTGAATTTGACTCACAATCTCACATGGATGTTCAGACATACCGTGCCTCTGAACAATTTTCACGTGGATCTTCACTTTGCGCATGTTACGAATGAAACTAAGCACTTTGAAACTACTATATATATTTCCTGATCAGTTGCTGCTGCTTCACTTTTGATTGACTTTCTAGTTTATCTGTACCCAGTGGATTCTTATTGTTTTCTTGGTAATTGCGGCGCGCAATAGTCTCACTTGATTTGGTACCAAACTAACGTCACGTTGATCCTAATGAGAGAGTTGTATGGTAGTAATGGTTCCTAGTCACATAATCTTTGGAGTTGGACATATAATTACAAATAAGATTTATATTCAACATGTAACACCTAGGGAAAATCGACAATGGTAGACGCGGTAACAGAGAATCGAAGTGACTTGGTTCAATAATTGGGTTAATTCTTTTCCTATTGCTTATGAGCCGCCCAAAATGATTGTTTTCCTATGTTAAATGGAGAACAAAGAGTAGTGATGGTACCCCCTTCGTGTTACACGAAAATTCAGATTTACTAGCTGGATCAGATCTGGCAAAAGCCGAGACTTTTTCGAACTATTTTACCAAAGTGGACTATAGATGTATTATTACAAATACCTGTCCTAATTACACCGTTGAGATGCCAGCCATAGGACCCGTAAGTATGACTGAGAAAACTGTCCTCCGATTGGTCACTAACTTCAAACCTTGTAAGATACCGGACCCCAATGGATTAAACCCACGACTGCTGTAATCTCTCGCGAAAATGATTTCAATACCACTCGCGACGATCTTCAACATGTCTCTTTCCCGCACTCAAGTCCTCAGAGATTGGAGAGATGCTATAGTCAGTCCTGTATTTAAAATGGTCAGAGACAGATCGTATCTAACTACCAACCTGTCAGTCTAACCAGCATAGTCGTCAAGTTACTTGGAAAGATAATTCGGGTTAAGTTACTAGATCACATAGAATCGTACAATCTGGTAACTCCCGGGCAACACGGGTTTCGAGACAAGCATTCATGCTTGACCATATATTGCAAGAGAGAATCGGACAGCAGCTTTAGATAACTGTCTGCCCGTCAATGTGATATTTATAGACTTTAACAAAGCGGTGAACAAGGTTTCAAACTTTGGGCTTGTGTAGAAGCTGTCGAGCTAGTAGAGTACTGTATCCAAGCAACTGACCCATGCCTGATTAACGATACCAACTCACTCGAGCCTGTTCAGTGTATGGGAACAAAATGAGTGAAGGGTCATTCCCAACTCCCTTACGACGGGCGCTTAAAACGCCTAAACCTTTCCCCTCATCTTATCTTAGAACTCGAGGTGACCTTATTTTGGCATTTTGTAATTTTAATCACGATTTGGGCGTTGATATATCTCATCTTTTTACTCTCTACAGCATTAATAATCTCCGAGGCCATATCAAGAAGGTTCACAAACCGCAACCTAATAAACCTCATCAAGTGGTTAATGACCAGAACGCCCCACGTAAACAAGTGGTATCAGCCCCATCAGTGAACATTTTCAAGATGTTGAACACTCACCGGAAGGCAAACTTAGAGGATTAACACCGGTCCATCAACCTATTATCCTAATTACTGAAGACTGACACACCTAGCATTCTGATTTAGTAACAACATTTAGATTTACTTGTTATTTCCTTCAGTTTCAGAAGGAACAAGATAAGAGTTGTACCGGGCCATAATCAAGAATGCTCCTTTAACATCCAAACTTATATCTCAAGGGACAAATCCTTTGGTGGGAGGGTGTGAAAAGGTTTTAAGTTTAAAGGCACTTGTTATGGAGCCATCATTTGTCACGCACGAATCAGCCTTTCAAACTTTTCTGTG